GAGAAAAAAACCAAGGGAATAGACCGCGAACTCACCGAGGCGCAACGTCGAGGGGCGAAGTTAGAAACGCGAAGGTTATTTGCGAAGTTTAGAATAAGATCGCCTTTGCAGGCGCTGTAGCGCGTAACGCCTCATTTGCATATTTGTTACGCCTCTGCTGATTGGATGCCGCTTTGGGCGTACGTTATACATTTTTTTTCCCGAGTAATGCAGGTTAAGTGGACGATTGCTGGGGGTTTCATGCATCGTGCGTTGTGTTTTATTTGTTTTTTATGGGGGGGCAGGGGATGTTTAATATTTTTTTCCCCTCTTTAAAGGGCGCGGCGCGGTATTTTATTTAGTGTAGAATCCTTCGGGCTGGGCAGCGATCCCCGCACAGCGCGAGTGTGCCCCCCACCCACCCCACCGCCCTGGGCGCGTGACGTCACAACATAAATTATGTTAATGACAAGGCCCCGGAAGAGAATCCGGACGCGCGATTCATGCACGAGCAAGGCCCCCGTCTGCCCAGCCGTTCAAACCGCATAAATTATGTTAATTAGATGGCAGCCCGGATCATATTTGATATTAATTTAAACCGCTGCATATAAAACTCCGAAGCTATTGTAAATTGTTAATTCGTGTATTGCAATAAATACATTGCACATAAATTATGTTCAATACACCTACTGGATTTTTTGGGCATAAATTACGTTAGGTTTCGGATATTGAATCAATGTGCGCCAAAAAAGTAACCCGACAGGCACATAAATTATGGTAAACGTTCGCGACAAAATATCCGCATATATTATGTTAATTTCGCGCACCAATTATCCTGGATTTACTTTTTGGACGTAAATTACGTTAAGTATGTTCGCTTCCGGATATTTAAAGGGCTGAATACACGTGGTGCATGAATTGTGGTCGCATAATATACGCCGCAATAAAAAATAACCGGACGCATAAATAATGTTAATATCGCAAGCATGTCCACGTCTGTAGGCGGTGTGCATATATTATGTTAATTACACGCGCGATGAACAACTCTCCCCCCCCGCCCCCATTTACGTTTTGGACAAAAATTACCGATGTTAGCTTCTGGTAATCGAAAGGACCGAATACACCGTGGCGCATGAATTGTGCCCGCACAACAGTGTACCCGTCAATCGGGATAAGCGGACAGGCGCATAAATTATGTTAATTATGCTTGGCATTTGACAGAGTGCTCCCGGAAACGCGCACCGCAGCCCACGTGCGTCTGGCAGGAGGCCTCCACGCGCCCGCCGCCTCGTGGCAGCTCGCGCCGGTTCACATTTCAACCCTCAACCCCGCGCGGGTCACGAGGTGCTCCGCGCGCCACGTGGACCATTCTGGGATGGGACATCGAACGAAAAGTCATCGATATATTACCGCCGATTGTTCACCGCACATCGTCATAAATGGAAACTTGCAAGGGCAGGCCAATCTTTAATTTAGTGTTGAGAAATCGGCAGGAATTTACATGTGCAATGTGTACTTTCTTGATCTGAAGCTTTCGTGACTGCGGAAATCCATAATTTGCTTCTTATATTGGTAAAAAGACAAAAATAAAAATTGTTTTTCTGTATCGACACAAGCACTGCTTCCCCCCAATGTTCCGTTTGGAATTGATAAAAGCTACCATACTACCTCTACTTGATTACTGTGATATCGTGCATAAATCAGCCCCAAGTACTGTACTGAAGAAGCTTGATTCCATCTATCACTCGGCCTTAAGATTTGCATTGAACTGCCCATATAGGACTCACCACTGTGATCTCTACATTGGGTCAAACTTAACATCTCTTAATGTTCGACGGCTTGTACACCAGATCTTATTTATTCACGATGTACTTACAAAAAAATCCGCAGACTACCTGCTGGATCTCCTCTCTGTTTCAAAGAACAAATTTGACCTCAGGTCTCCGCTCATCTACCAGCTTTACATTCCCTATTGCCGTACAAAAACCGGAGGAAGGGCCTTTGCTATTGATGCCCCCAGGGTCTGGAATGCTATTGCCAATAAACTGCAACTTGAATCACTACCTATGAGATCTTCACTCAAAACTGCTCTAGAGGAGTTGTACACTGCTATTCAGTGGCCTAAAATAAAATGTTTCGCTCCGGATGACCGCTGCAAAGTATTATCTGTATTTTGATTTAGTGTGCTGATCTTAAAGGTGCATTGAAAAATGTGATACTTCGACTGATGCTCTTGTTGTTTGTGGAATGACTCATGCAGCCAGCTGTGGCTCTAGGGTTTGGTGTTACATGTTATTTATGTAGTTTATTGTTAAAAATTCGGTCACAGTACCTATGATCACTGTTACATTGCATTTATGGCTTTATTTTGGTGACTTCCAAAAGTTTTTTGGTTTGGCCATGTTTTTGTTTATTGTAGTACGGAGTTAGACTGATGGCCTTAATCTAAGTTTTCTTGTTGTTGTTTGACTTGCATCCCACTGGGATTTTTGCACACAGCGTTAGTGTGCGGTGCTATTTCAGGAATATTTTGATGTTTTTTTCCTGGATTTTATGTTTGCACATGCACAAAGTCACTTTAAGATGTTTTTGTTTTTTTGTTTGTTGCGGTTGCACCCGATTCAAGAGCCGAATGGCTCACAGGGCTATACCAAAATAAATGAAAACTAAAATGAAATGAAACTTTCGGTAAAGTCACGTAGGTGTAAAATAAGATAAAATAAATCACGACGTTTCAGGCGTAACACAAGCGTCCATCAGGTGAGAAAGCATGGTCTGCCTCAGCAGCAGACCATGTTTTGTGTTGCGCCCGAAACGTCGTGATTTTATTTTATACCGACGTGACTTTACCGAAAGAACCAAAGAGTATCAATATGTACATTTTATTAATTATTCGTGACATGCTTACCTTTTCTCTCGTTTTTGCACTCCTCTCGCTTTTTCGTGTATTGTTTTAACTTGCCGACCCGTCCCAACTGGACATCTGCGACAATTAAGATTCATAGCTCATCGGATTCCTCCAGTATAAATAAAGTGCGACTGGCCCATGCAACACCCAAACTAAGGGCTCGACAGGAAACGGGTAAAGCAAAGGCTGCGACATTATTCACTGGCCAGCTTTACAGCACGGTTTGGTGGCACTATTAAATATCGAACTGAAAACCAACGTTACCGTGCATGATCATTTTTTTGTAAATTTATCTTACGTCCACCTCCACCCAACACAGCCAATAAAGTCACGCGAATTGAACGTGCCAATTTGTACAGCACATCGGGGCTGGAGGAGGCTGTAATATGGTTCAGTGGCTGCGTGGGCTGACGTCAATTCATAACATCGACATGTATATTTATTTTCCTTTATCTTGTGCTGTGTAAAACTCGCGTGTAAAAAGCATTCGCTAAATAAAAACCGGTGTTAGCAAACCTATTTACAACGGATATTTAGCAGTGACAAACCTAATTGGATGTCGGGTGGAGGTAGGTGTACGAAACATTGGCACAATGTAACCCAAAAAAAGTATATCATGAATATTAGTCGCGCAAGCCTACGCGTCTTAAATTCAACGTTACTGTGGTCAGAGGGAGCAGTATGATGTGAACCCGCCCACCGGCCACGGGTAACATCTTCGGCGAGTGTGAACTAATCCTGTACCCCCCCTCCGCCCTCATTCACCAATTTGCGCTGGCCATTGCAGTTTGTATATTGAACTTCTTTCGCACCGTACGTAGCCAACCCTGCTAATCGGGGGGTGCGACACCCACGGTGTGGGGTGGGGGTCTTCAGTTCATCCAGCAGGGTATTGACAAAGGGCTATACATTATGATCAGACGAACAATCTTGCCAAGTTAAATGCCAGGAACGTGTGTTTTGACCGATGTTTTGTATAATTCCAAGCATGCACGTCTCTCCATGTTTGTGCACTTTTTAGGTTGTGTTTCATTTCCTTTGTCAAAGTGCACGTTTCTGACCCGTCATATCAGGTAATACGCATGAATGTTCCTTTAGTGGCATGAGCATGTTGTTTTTCGTGATATTTTTCAAAACACCCCAACATGCTCTGGTGTGGCACGATTTCATTTTGATCTCGATCTACCATCAAATTACTGCCCGAGGTGTTTGTCTTTTCCGTCAACATTGACGATCATTGCCGTCACGGTGCTTGCTGTCTTTTTCTGTGGATGCACAGATGCCCATAAAAAGGCTGATGCACCATGTAATAATATATTGTGGTTGTCTTCCATCAGCCATTGCTTTTTTTGCTACAAATTTGACATTCTACTCTTTGAAGGCCGTTAATCTTTCTTATATCTTTGCTGGCCACACACTGGTGCACAAATCAGTTGTTACACAGTTTGTAGGGCCAGATTGCAACGATTATCCATTTATAAAAGTGGATGCAATGCACAAAATGTATGGTGGGTGCACTACCATGTACTGCACTCTGAAGATATAGCGAGGATCTCATGAAGACTAAGATTCGACTGCACCAACTGAGGGTGAAATCATCATGTCAGCAGTGCATGAATTCACTCTACTGTTGTGGAAGCTCCAAGGATAATGCTGGTGGTATGTTGCATTGCTGCTACTAACATTTCCAAGTACTCACAGGAGTTGGCTTTGTCTGCTATTCCGTAAACGATGGGAGTTACCACGAGTTTTACCTTGGTGTGTATTGAGTGCACTGCTGTAGCTATATTCACAAGGCATGCACTCAACCCACACCACGTGCAAAGCCACAAAGTCTAACTTATCATATTTCAAATGCAATCATATGTCCGGAAGTGGCTTTCTAAAATCAATAACTATTTAAAGGGCAGATTAAATTATACATTATGTGGAAGCAAGGACACTCAAGATGTGTTGCAGTGTCATTCTTCTTCAGGATCTTCAGCACAGATCAGTGCAAGGTCATCTTGATTAAGTGATTTCATAGGTAAAACTTGGGGGGGGGAAACATAAAAACCAAAATACTAAGTATGAAAAACATGATTAGAAATAGGTATAAAGTACGTGAAACAAATAAATTTGACTATTTAATTGCACCGGGACAAATACATCAACCTCAAACACCAAGGGCATGACCATCCAATCTTAGGCAGTTGTAACTTTAAAATGTTGAGATAAACTTGCACTCAGGGATACAAAGTCTAAAGCTGAGGCCAAAAAAACAATTCCACTACAGTGAACAATTTGCTTAAGAACCACAGTGCTATATGTTTTATCATTTAACAGTCTGAATCAAATGTATTACAGGGACCAATACAGTACTTTTAAAACAGTGATATGAAGATAATGCTTTTTCTTTTAAGTTCTCATATCTTCATAGACAATTCAAGTTGTTTACCAGAATTAACTCCACAAGTATTGATTTGTTATTGGGTTCTAACATGTAAAGGTTTAATCCCAGAAAGCACAAACTAATAGCAACTGGCTTGAAAGGAGATTCCATATATAGATAATACAGCAAAGTTCACTGTTAAAATGATGTTTAAAAATGCCTCTCAGGCCATCCTTCATTAGCACTTGAAATTTCTCAGTGACACTTAACAAAATGTAACTTTACTATATTAACACCAAGCCTAAAAAGCTACTATATATTAATTAACTTTTAAATTCAAACAATGCAAGAGGAATTCGCAAACATACACCTTACAGGACTGCTATTATGACTAAGAACATTTCCATCAAATTCATTTCACGTTTCGTAACATTTTTGCTGAGTGCAAAATTATTACAAGGTTGTTGATGCATTTTTCAGAAATGTAAAAAAAACCGTGATGGATGTCTTCAAGACAATGCAGAGGCGATCGTTAAAAGAACAGCAATTGAGGCAACAATTCCTAAAAACAAAACAGCATATTGAGCACAAAAAGGACCACTTAAGGCCAGTAGAGACATGGGATACTTTGGTCAACCATTGATACATGTGGCTTTAGGTGCAGCTGTTTACATAACTATACACAGCCTTGCCTTAAAATCACATAGTTATTACGGCAAATAATACCTGTCAACAAACTTATAGATTGCTTCAGTAAACCTTACGACAGCATTGGGGGTTTACAATTTAAATCAGACCTGGGGTTTGCACCAAAGGAAATTCTCATTGCAACTACAATTCCACAGCCTCAAACAACAATACAGTAAATGACTCCATAAAACTATTATTTAACCATTAAACTTTAAAAGATATTTGCTTACCAGAAACCAACTTTAGGCACCCGAGCATTCAGTGGTGATTCGTGGAATTCAACTAAGGTACCGTACAGGGTCACAGATAATGAAAATTAGGAACAGAAAAAGCCAATTTTTATTCCTTGTTGAAATACCAATTTATCGTTGAAATACACTATATTTGCTAAGATTGGTTGATGTGTTTTAAATTAAGTGACATTACATTTCAGGTTGTATAAATATTTTTTTTTCAATACCGAATAATTTTGTTGTACAGTCCGGCAATTACTGTACAGATCACCCCAAGCCTGAGCCTAACAATTAAGCGGCTGCATTAAGATAGTGGTAAACTGTAAAAACAAACATCCAAAAAACGTGCTGCACTTGTTTATTGTAAGCATTTGATTAATGGGCCAAGGATATAGATGGCACCAATTGGTTTGCAAAAAAAATGCATTCAAAATTACATCCTTACTCTGATGGAATTACAGATGTATTAGATTAGTTGATAACCGAGTCTCACCATGAGCTAGTATAATTTCACTGACACCGCTTTTACAGGTCTATTTGCAAAACATTTCAGCTTTAGAGTAAACTTTTTTTTACACATTGCATTTGACAAAAGCTATGGCACTGTACGATGATGGGCTGGAATAAACTTATTTTTTGAAACGGCACATTAAAAGTAAACGTTTCCAGTTATTACCGTATTTTCAAAAGCTATCCAAAAATTGCACTTAATTTGCTATATGAATGTTGAGTAAAAATGCTGTTTAAAATAGGCCTTATATCAGGTTAATGCAATGATGCTTAACATTTCGTTTTCAAAACATGACTATTCACTGTATGAAGAAAGCTCATATGCCATACTTGGAACAAAAATGCTAAGCATATTCACTTTAATAAAAAAAATACACATTTGAAAAATCCAGAAATGCTATGTTAAAGCAGTATTTTGAAAGCAGGGTATGTAGGCTAAAGTATCAGGTATGCTCTCCACCCTGCTGCGAAGCATCCCAACGGGTTTTAACGTTGCATTTGTGAAATCTCCACACTTCACAGACCTGAAGGTGAGGTTTGAACAATGGAACACTCAGAACAAGGATGCGAGAGCTGCCATCTCAAGGACACCAACACACAATACTGTACAGGGCACAACAAAGGTGTGATTAAAAGAAATAAATGAAGACCAGAAAGAATAAAAATGACATGGAGACATAACCAAGACACACCTAAACCATTCAAACAGCACTCTTTTTTTTAATCACGTAGCTTATGTGCTCAGATGATCTGAAGTGAGGGGGGAACAAAAAAAGGCATGGGAAGATATTCCAGCTGTCAAGTCAGAAGTGCATGAATTGAAATATTGGAGAATGCTGCAAAGTTTGGAAGAGTATGTTTACATATAACAAATGTAACTCTTCCTTTACCCACAATCAGAAAATTGCAAACACGTGCAGACGATAAAGACAGTCGGACGAGTATGATAATTTATTCAAAAGCTGCAATTAACTGCTCCTACTGAAAATAAAACTCTGCCAATTAAAAAATATAATATACGTAATAAAATGGAACACTAAATATCCAAGGGTTTGGGTGTGAAGGCTTACCTTAATGTCAATTCAATTTAACACCTTTGAGCAAACATTTTATCTAAAATCCTTACGTGCCAACCTACGGAACGTGACAGCATGCCCTTTGCACAAAACGACGCATAGCCATACTGTGCACGCATTCAAATAATACCGGTGGCCGTGTCTTTTAAAGCATCCTTCTAAGCCAAACTGCAGGAAAACAGTGTGCAGCTTGCGAATAAACGTGTCCCTTCCATCAGCCAATAAGCACTCTCATTCAGGCCCTGCCTCCTTCCCAAACCCAACTACCACTCCCCCATCCCCGTGTCTCCCACCCCACCCCCCCCCTCTGACCCTTTTGCCCGAGCACTCGCTCCGTCAGTTTAGCAGCAGCCACCGTCTTGCTGCTGTCTGTTCTGGCTGCTGGCCATGCCTGGGCTGGAGGCGGCGTGCTGTGGTCCAATCTTGATCCCATTTGCCTGCCGAACCACACGCACCGACAAATTCATGAATTGTAACATTATCAAAATAGGATAACGTGGCACCATCTCTACATGCACTAAGCTTTGCAGCAGCTTGAGGTATTAACACAATCATGTCATCGCTGCTGCCCCATGGTTGTTATCGATTTCCCTACAGTAGATTGTCACCCACAAATAATAGCCTATGTAGGTGCTCTCTTATATGTAGCGCACATGAATAAGCATACACTTTTTTAGCAGCAGATACTAAACCAGTTTAATCGTCTTCATTGAAAAGATAGTAGGGGCAAACCACTTCTGACAATAACAAAGATGAAGCCGCAGACGTTATAACATTCCCCGAAGACCAGAGGGACTTTCCAACACCATCCTGGAGAGTTCAGTAGAAGGGATGAGGAAGAGGTCAGCCAAGGATCAGCTGAATGACAAACAGTGTTTTGTCAGGGAGATTAGCAGCAGACGTTGTGCCGATTGCAAAAGACTGCAAGAGGTGGACCGAGTTCATTTCCAAAGCACCAATGGAACTCCCATAACCCCCAAGGTTAAATGATGGATTACGATAATTGTAAAGCAAGCATAACCAATAATATAAAATGTTCAATTATTTAATGCAAAGAGTAGAAAAAAGAGTGCATTTGCATACCCTTCATATGTACATTTGTGTATGTATGGACACAGGCATAGAGGTAATGACCTCAATGAACCTGGAACAATTGCCAAAGCCAGTAATGTTATTGTATGCAAGGCTACGACAGTGAACCAAACAACATATTGGAATGCCATTGTCTCTGCAGAATTGACACTGATGCACTGCAGCAATTATTTACTTTCGGCCGAGCCAATCCAGAGTTAACCCATGCCACATTCAGATGCTAACATTCATGCACTAATGCGCCGAAGCTAAGAAAACACACCGGGTCATTGGAATCATCTGTGAAAACTACTGGACATTTGTGAAAAAGAGCTTCATAACTCATTGGACTGCTCCAGTCTAAATAGAGATTCTGATTCTGTCTAAATAAATATTCCGTATGTACAGGAGTGTGAGGACATGGATAACTCTGCATCATGAGAACCTGACTGTGATAGCTGTGCACTGCCAAGCAAATTTGCATACAGCTGCAATTGTAATGGTGGCAATTATGAAAATTCCACACTAAGAGACTGCTGGCATTTTAAACCAATCCAGACATGAGCACACTACCCTCCCATCAACTGATGTTTTTTTCTCTATCTCATTAGCCACTCAAGGTTACCAATGACAACAAAGACCAGTGGACACTCAGAGCCAAACTGTAAATTCCGATATCTCGAAGGTTGTGCTTGTGGGTCAAACTGTAGCCTCAACAACCCCCCCCCCCCCCCCCCCCCGGCAGCTCATGAGACAATAAATTAGCAGTACTTTTTTGGTGCATCATGCCATTATGGCATGGGACAAACCAGCTGGTAAAATCTGTCTATCAGATAGAAAGCTAGCAGTAGGTAAGTGCACAAGTAGACACCCAACCTCAAAAGCAGACGGTATTTGCGGGGTGCTTTAGGAGAGACGAAATAAGGTGAACACGTTAGATCGGCGAGACAGCATCCATTATATTTGCATCTCCTCGGCACATTGGTGCAGTCTGCCAAATTTGCATCCACGAAGGCTGGATTATTTCGGTCTCGTCCACAAAGTGCTTTGGTGTTGTTCACGTATGCATATTTATATACTATTGCAATTAAACTACGTATGTATAATTAGATTTACATCCCTATGGCTCCATAATGGTTAACTGCGTAGCTTATTCCAAACAGATGTGCCATTACCTATCTGTAAGCTCCTTTTAGATTACACTCATTTAAGCAATGGCATGCTAATGAATATAATGTGGCCTCAATACATTGCATCCTGACCAAGGTTCATTACCATTATCGCCCATGCTCAGGTGAATGTCTCCCCCAAACCGTTACCATCTATTACAGTCTTGTGATGTAAGAATCCATCTAGCTCCTGCACACGAGATGATTTTATCACTCCATCTCTGGGGGAGATCTAAATCTCTTCTTTGGATGCTGCTCAATCATGAGCCTCCACCATTTGCAATCATTGCATCTATAGATGCGTTCAGCTCAAGCCCACTTGCTTCTATGAACAGCTGATGCTATCTTGATTTGAAGTTTTCGTGACTGCAGGAATCCATACTCTTTGGTTCTTTCGGTAAAGTCACGTGGGTAGAAAAATAAATTATAAATCACGACGTTTCGATCGCAACACAAGCAATCGTCATCAGGTAGAAAGATACAGCAGTAGAACTGCTGAACAAGAAAGGGCTGTTGCAAAAAAAAATTATGTTCCTCCTCTTGTCTAAGTTTAATTAAAATTATACACCTCTCCATGCATATTTGCACACATTTCAGCTCATCTACCACTTTCTGCGGTAATGTTCATTGTGATCCATATGTTACAGAACGAAATATAAACCCATTTAAAAACAATCCTCTTTAGGAATACTTGTATGTTCCTCACAAAGCACTCCAAACTGCTTTTGTCCACCTATTTAATTGCCATTCTCTTGTTCAATATATCCCTTAATGTTGTTATTCATCATTAGTCACTCCAGGTCACCTAATTCTCCCAAACACACCAACAGCAATCAAGAGCCACTCAGATCGGATGTGTTGTCCCAATGTGTTCTTCCTACATATTTCCAACAGTTGAGAACATTTGTTATAGACGATTTTTATTTTCCTTATTTTATCTTGAGTCCCATTTCACTAGCAGTCAGCTTCTGGAAGAGCTGAAATAGTATTTGTATACTATGAAAAGGGCTAAAACCATTATACCTACTATAATCACCCAGGAATGACCTTAACGCTCTTGACGTCACTCCAAATGGACCAGCCCCCTCATTAATATTCATGAGTAGGTGACGTCCTCCAATTGGACCCCCCCCCCACACCTCATTAATAATCATGAGCGGGTTACGTTACTCAATATGGAGTACTCCCCCCCACTCATTAATAATCATGAACAAGTGACATCCTCCAAATGGACACCCCCCCTCCCCCATTCATTATAATTAGCGGCTGACGTCACTCCACATGGGGGGGCGAGGCGCCTCCTCCCCCCTCCTCGGCGTCAACTGACAACCCTCACTACAAAGGCAGAACCCTCGCGTCACGCGATCTCCGTCACGCTATTGAGACATCAATGTTAAAATTACGTCATAATGAACAAGGGATTATATAACCTTAAAATTAAATGGGTCTGTGTCACCGCGCCCTTACAAATCGCATACGCTTAAAGCAATGAATATCACAACGCGGTCTGATTTTCGCTTGCAAGTTTCAGATTTACTGCAATACACCCGTCCTTGGACGGGCAAAAGGCTAGTTAAACATATCTACCAACTCAAACAGTTACACTTTAATCCAATTGATATTAGAGGTTACACACATCTATATTAGAAGGCGTTGTTCTGAAACCTGTATTGGATAATTAAATCTATTAAAATAGTATATAGACCATCTCAGAATTGGTAATGACATCATCATTCTAACAACCAATGTGAAATAACCTATAGTACACTTGCTGTAAATGTGAGTGCAGGTAGTATACATGCAGTATATATAATTTTATGAGCAAGGTACAAAAGAATAAGGGTAACAAGTAAAACATGACGAGGTACTTTAGATCAATCTCTAGCTAAAATCAAAATTACCAGACTGAAAGTCAAATTACAGTTTAAAAATTAAAAGTACCACACCCACAATCCAAGTTTTGGAAATGGCGTGTGAAATACTGGTTCTAGCCAGATCCCATGGAGGTGACTAAACAACACGAGTCTGATGAGCGTGACGTTTATACGTAGCAATGTACGTATGTTGAACTTCTTTCACACAGTATGTAGCCAACCGTGCTAATCGGAGGTAAGGGAGTTTTCAATCTAGATTTAAAAGTGCATAGGTCTAGTAGAGTCATAATATCAGAAGAACGTTCCAGGCTGCCGCAGAAACCCATCTCAAAGCGCGCGATGCAGTGACCATCTTTGTTCGATGGTTAGCCAAAAGCCACTGTGAGGAAGAGACAAAAGCCATGAAGAAAAGAGGCATGACAAGCAGACCGATACCATGGCTTTAACACATTACTGCAATTTATGCTTACCTCATTGTTAATATCAAACACGCCTTCCTGAATTTTCTCGTAGATTTCCTTTGCTGTGTTGATGAATGCCTGTACATTGCAAATATAAGAAAAATACATTGTGAGACCACCTTTCATCATTTTCAAAATGTGAGAATTGTGTAGACAATGTAACCGGAAAACTGGAACAAAATCAGTCTCACTATTATTTAACCCAACTGTTCCATAAAGTTATGGTCTGCATCATTTAACCTCGTGATTCTGCATAAATTAATCTATTAAAATACATCGACGATAACTATGGGTGTAACAGCCACAATGAAATGTTGTCGTCTGCTTCATAGCGGATGTTAAAGATCCCCCTGGCATCATTCACGAGAGTAAGCCATTGTGTTCAGCCATCAAGGTCCAAATTCGCCGAATTCTGATCGTTTGAATGGGTTCTCTCCAGACACTCCAATTTGCTCCCACACTCAGAACTAAATAACAAATTAGACAAACATGCAAAGCAAGACTCTCCTGAAGTAGTCTTGAGACTCGGAAAGCTTTCATGAAGAAAAGGTATCATTTATAATCATAACTGGCAAAACGATTCATCCCTTGCCCTCGGTGATTTGAAGAATGATGGCGATTCAGGGTAACATTTCAATTCAAGTATTATTTTTCAACTCTACTCTGAATGGTAACGCCTCTAGTGGACGCAGGGGTGACAGGAACCCATTATATACAACAAACATATACGAATCGACAAACATTGACTCTTGCTCACACGATTTGATGAATGTATGTTGAGCTCAAGACTCAAATGTTCAGTAATAAACTGCATCACTCAACTCCGAGCTATTAGGCTAAAAGAAAGAGTGAATATGTGCTTGCACAGGAAGGTTCTAGATTTCTAATGCCGTGCGGTGATTCTCAATGGATGGCATGGAGTAGGTTACCTCCTCCACATTGGAAGCGGTTTTGGCCGAGGTTTCCATGAACACCAAGCCATGCTCTCGCGCAAAAGCCTCCCCCTCTTCCCGCTTGACCTCTCGTCTCGACTCCAGGTCACTATAGCAAGGAAGATTACACAGTGAATTAGGATAACACAGAGTTGCTTTGCAGGCCAGGTTGACACACAAAAGAAAAAAAACGCTTTCCATTTTATTTAGAGACGTGATTTAATTTTTTTTTACGAAAGAGGTCAATTTGCTTGTTCGGTGAGACAGATGTGTCAGCGTGATCTTTTATGCTTGAAAGGTATTTCAGTATTAATTTTAGAAGTATAACACAAAGACATCTGTACTCGTATGACATCTAAATGCAACCACATCTCATGAAGGTAGCAAGAAATTGTATGAATATTAATTTCGTAGAGAGAAAAAGGCAGTCAGTCGCAGGCAGAGGGAGAAAAGGTCGTGAGGCAGGTCTTCATTAAGGACAAAGATTTGATAGCATTATGACTGGGGAAAGGGAGTTCCAGATGAGAGAAGAACGAGCACTTTCCCAATCAGTGAAGGTTGACTGGGGACTTTGGCACAGAGTCTTGATTGCTCGAGGGGTGAGTGCGTGGATGAGAGGAGAGTGAGATGAATGAAGAGAGATAGGCAGGGCCTTGTCCATACATTATGTTTAAGACAGTAAACCGTGATCTTGAAAATGGTTACATAATTGGGCTGGGAACCTGTGCAGAGATTTAAATATTGGGGTGATGTGGCCTTGTTTACTAGCATGGCTGAGAATTCTGGCAGCAATATTTTAGATCTACAAGGTGGTGACATGAGATTTGAGGAGGCCATAGAGGTGAGAGTAGCAGTAACGGAGTTGGGATGTGATGAAGGCATGGATGAGGAGTCTCAGCAGCAGCTGGGGTAGGATACATATAGTGAATTGGAAGGTAATGTGCAGATGGAGGTATGAGGTTGGGAAGAGAACAAGAGCTCGATATCGATAACAACGATAGGCCTTTGCACACGCGAGTCAAGCATCATGTCAGAGTTTAGGAGGAACATGCTCAACTGGAGTTGATTAAAAGAACTCTGAAAATATTTCTTTGGTCAAAAAAATGTATATAACAAGCCCTAAACTATTGTGTGATATAATAAATTATATACTATACTGTTGGTTTTCAGTCTTTATAGAAGATTAATTTTACATTCATTTTGAATGACAGGGTTTATGATTAAATAGAAATCCTTTAAAGTATTAAATGACTTAGCATGCATCCCAATAATGTGACCACTTGAAACTTACAGAAGTGTCATCATTACCATGCATACACTTTAACACATTCACATTATTTTCCGGACACTCATTGTTTCATGTTTAATAATATTAATGATGAGGTGGTATAACCAAGTCAAAATGGAACTGTTTTTACAAAATGGTTTTAAAAACCAAATCTGTAAAGGTGAAAACCATCTTTAATATTCGAACTTTAAGATCAATCAATTATTAATTAACCCTATTAAAGCACATCTACATAAATCACAATACAGAATACATTGCAAGTTGTAAAACTAATATATCACTGGAAGAGTCTGGTGTTCAATACACTTTTAAGTTTCACAAAATCCAACAAGATAATGTTAGACACACAGAGCTTTTAGAACCAGAGTTCCAAGAGGTATATTAAGGCATTGACGCCAGATAAGCAACAGCAATCTACATGCTTCCTTTAAAATCTAGGTTTAGACAGCAGCGCCTATGAACTGCAGGACACATTGTTTAAGAGGCTGCCCCTTGGCTTGAGAAAGGGCCGTGATCCAATTGCCCATGACAAGGCACGTAATAGCTTGCTGACCAGCCAGTCGGGCAAGGCTGAAAGACATACGCTTATTCTCGTTAATATTGAGACGATGTTATCATTGACATTCTAAATAATATCGTTACAGCATCTAATTTGCAAAAATGAAATCAACCAATGCATTGGCTTTTGTTTGTGCAAGTCTAAACAACTATATACCCAATGACGTTAATTTCATCTCCACAAAGTGAAGATTTCATCTGCACAAAGTTAAGATGAAATTTATTTGGAACACCCTACAAATAGCATAGTTATATATCTCATAAAGCAATGCAAAATTATTTAAAGGGCTTCTGCTCAATAAATCAAGCAATTATATCCCCAAAAAATAAGACTTCTCTCAATTTTCAGCTCAGCAGATCAGCGTTTTATCACATCCTATCTGCCAAAAGCCCTTTTAGCTGGCCATACAATATATGAAATACCCAACTTTATTTATGACGGGTTATGTTAATCTAATATCTTACACTCACTGAACCTTACACTTAAATGGGTGCTAAAGTTTTGAATCCAAGACTTCCACCCAGGAAGCATGACTTCATAAATGGAGTCATGCACTACATCACAACATGCTGCTCTGCAGCTCAGCAAAGACTGTAGGTTAGGAGATATGTAAATTATCAATGCACAGACATGATATTATGCTTTTATGCATCAGAGAAAACTTCATATTGGATTGGCGTTGGCAGCACACACCTGTAATCTAGCCCTGTGCAGGAAAGGGTTGGTGGATCACACAAATTATGCTAAAAACTCCCTTCCCGTGGGCGTCAAGGTGCTTGCGGGGAGAACGCAGTTCAGCATAGTGCGGACTAATATCATCTGTCCCTTCTGTATGGAACAGGGTGTCAACCCCTTGCACGTGTGGGTTTTCTCCGGGTGCTCCGGTTTCCTCCCCCATGTATAAACACGAATTGCCTGAAAAAAATATATAATATAGGATCCGAGAGCTTGGGTAATTGGTGGTCTCGGCTCGCCACTTGGCTACTTTCCCACTTGTCTGTGGTTCGTTATGAATTGTGAGGTGCAATTTGCATTTAACGACGCTGTATAAAAATAAGCAATGTTATTATTATTATTATGATCCACTGTTGTCTGCCTATAGCTCATCCAGATACTGTGCATTCAATTGTGACCAAGTGCACCGCATTCCTCCAAATGGAGCACGCTTGTCAACATCAGGTAGGCACTTCCTAGGTGGAAGGCAACCATGACAAAGGTGTTCAATAATGCATATTGCTCCTTGTTGTCATCTGCAGCTTAACGGATTTTATTATCGAGGACATTCCACTTGGAGCCCTGTATTCAATGGCATTCAATGACACAGAGTGCTTTATTTCTAACGTGATATTCATTGTTAAAACATATTTTTCAATATATGCACTGGACAAAACTACGAGCCTGCTTACACAAAAGACAAATATAACAGAATGCATTAGCCTTGCAAAAATGTCTAATATTTACTGGTTTACCCCGATGAGATTTTGCCAAGTGAAAACCACTATGTGGAGGGCTCACTTGCAGTTGCGTTAACACTTCGAGGCTCCAAACCTAAGGCATTGTGCGGTATGCAATGGAAATACCTTTCATCGTTATCATTATTGTTGTAAATACGTACGGCTCAAGAGCGCTGAGGAGTCAGCAGCAACTCGGCAGTTACTGAGTGCATGCTCAGCATATAACAGTGCATATTTGGTAGAAGTCCTCACGGCTTAAACTCAAGTTGAACGATGTAATCTTAAAGCAATGTTGTCCGTGTTGCATTGTTAAAACACGAGCTGCTTCATGGGGGAAAGTGATCTGCGTGTGCTTATGCATTGCACAATTTGGTTCAAGCCCTTCTTGAAATGCATTCTCGATACACATGAAGCAAGTGCTCCAACTGGACAGGACCAAGAGGTTAAGTCAACATGATCCAAATTTTAACCATCGACAAATATGGATCTTTCAATGTTTTTGACTGTGTAGACATTTTATAAAACTAGACATCTTCGTAAAGGTGAATAACACACCCTCAATCGGAATATTTTGTCATTTTTATCTCATTACTGTTAAATGCCTTGTTTTTTCCATGGGGTGTGAAGGAGCTTATCCTGGCCTAGATTCCCAAATGGGGTTTCTAGTTTAGGCTGCCCAGATATGAGGAGAGGGTGGGAGTTAGAGGGCTTGGCCTCTGTTGTATTAATCATGAAATATATCAGCCACGATTGACTGTGATGGCTCAGTAACATGTAACTTTGTTACAAAACAGGAACAACAACGTTGCTTTGTTTAGCATGGGATGTTGCAGAAGTTAGAAAACATACAACAAAGCAAAGTGCACGAAATCTACACCGTTTTATTTTTAAATCTCCAAGAAACCAGAACACAAACATCACAGAGGGAGATACAAATCACGAACGTGTGACGAACCCCGAATACACCCTCAAATGGGGGGTGGATGGGCGCCTAGAGACACTTGGGCTCACTGCCCTACCACAATCAAGGGCAACGGTCAGGAGCAGCAGATTAATGGGGAAGGGCGGTGCAAAGAAATCTTTACCGTTAACTTGGGAGTAAAGCTCACCTCTTGTTTCCGATGAGCATGATGACCATGTTGGAGTTAGAGTGCTGGCGAGCGTCTTCAAGCCAGGTGGTCAAGTGGTTGAAAGTGTCTCTCCTGTTGGTCATTTAAAAAGCAGAGCATAGCATGTAAGCTGGTTCCATCATGGATCACAGGAGGCTGGGTTGTTAATCGGCGAGCACGATTTCCACCGAGACAATTTTCACTGCACTGCCTCTTCAAGTCTTGCTGTTGCCCGAGAGCTTTGGTCTGTTCAAAGAGTGTGATGCTGTGCTCTAGTAAATATTTCATACCCCGTGATGTAATGAACAAGAGCAACCCATTGTGTGCCAGTCATGGGGACAAATTTCCAATGCAATGAAATACCACTTCAATTAATTCGATTATGGTCTTTAAGTCACTTATGGAACATATAGGTAACAAGTCTCAAATATGGTTACATAAAGAACAATTTACTTTTCCAACACCTGCATTAATGCTCGTGCACTAAATAGAAAACGGTGGCCAATAGTGCAATCTACTGGCAATGTATATTTGATTGCTCCTTTTAGTGATTGGAAGATTTTTCATATACTGTAGCTTCGTTTTTCACAGAACTACAAAAAACTTTGCATATGATATGGACATTTTAGAACGTAGTTATGGAAGTTTTGGTTCTATCATATTGACAAATCTTGTTTAAAGCGTGAATGATTATAATCCACCTAAATCGCACTGGTCATTCTGAATTGGTTCACGGATTTCCTGATTAAAGCACACACTTTTGCTGAATAACAATGGTCCAAAAGGGCTATTGGTTGATGAACTTAAAGATTATTTTATTGTTAAATGATAAGACCTACTCCTATTTTTTAAAATTATTAATGGTTGTCGTAGTTTCATAAAACAAGGGCAAACCAGTCTTTGACTTAATGAGAAAAGGTGACAGGGAAGCTGCACAGGGTGTATAGGTGGATGGAAACCTTTTATTAACTAAAATGGTCTGGCAATTAATCAGTGTATCTACTCATGAGCCAATTCACTCCGTAAACAGTTTAACTCCCACAGCTGCCCAATGATTCCGACTGGGAACTGACCATCAATGACATGCGCTATAAAGTGGGTATTAAATACCCAATGACATCACTCACAAAAAAAGAGCATTGTGGTTTGTCAGTCAGTATACCAAATTTGTAAATTATCCATAGCTGAAATAAATGCATACATTACTGTTGTTCAATCAAATATCCTTTTGTAAACTAGACATGTTAAACTCAAGGGGTATTAGATGGATAAATATAGAACTTAAAATTTGATCCTCAATAATATAACGTTATGGACAACTTCATATAATAATTCATAACTCATAAAAGTAGTGATTATCACAGTGGTATTTATAGGCGGCAGGCAAGAGTGATATGGTCGAAATAGCTTCACAACTTCATCATCGTTACATTTATTGATCAACTAGGTAAGAACCCATTGAGTCGAAGTCTTTTTTTATCAACCTGGCTTACAAGAATGACAAAAAAAACAATACAAAACCAAACGTAAATATAGTTTAAAATATATAGATTTAAAAATATTAACAGCTGAAATATTGCTAAAATATCAAATTGCTTTAGCAAAGACTCAAATTTACCAGAAAACCCTGTTTTAGAAATAACTTAGGTTAATTGTATGATTGACAGGTTATTCCAGGTATTCAAAACTCATAGATGAATGACCATTCTCTCCAGTACTGCATTCTTGGCACCTTACCGAGGAATTCTGAGGCTTGTCTAAACATGTAATGTCTTAAATTTGGGATAAGCAGATCACATAAGCTTAAATACAAATGCCAAGCTAGACAGTACTTCATGATGCAACCAAAACACTGCCCTTATCTTGTGTTGTTTGGGCTGTGTTTTCTGGGCTATCTGACAACAGTTTACAAGTTTAATAACCAGTGGTGACGTAACTGTAGCTTCACTCAAGTACTTTTTTTAATAGGCATGCATGCCTATGACAATAATGAAATATTCTTGAGTGTAAAGATCATTACAAACAAAATGTTAAGGACTGAATGATGCGTGCATTATATCATGACCCAGAATCACAAAATTCAACTTCTGCTGCAGGGGTTGGGGATAAATGGTTACATGCTAACTTTAAATCATCCCTACAGTGATATCACCAGTTTTTCTGACAATAACTCTGCCTTTCTATCATTTATATAATGATTTATTCTCATGAACAAAGTAAAACTGGTATCGGGTAACATCTATTTGTTCTATGGGTTGTCTCTCCTTTAAGGTAAGCATGTGTAATATCCCAGTAATATTGTCATGCTGAGACATGCAAAACGAAAGATGAGCTGCTCCATATAGCTAATGCTGCTGCAGTTAAAATTGTTACGTTAGCCTAAGAAAGGACTTCACAAAGCCCTGGAGTCACACATGTGGCCGCACCTGAAATGCAGCCACTCCCCAAAGAACTGCTGAAAAATCAGTTTCCCTGAAGTTTTTTTCAGATTCAGCTATTTTGTAAAAACGTGGCAATACTACTTCAATACCAGCAATAACTTTCACATATAATGGCAGTAACTGATCATATTTCATTTATGCTTCATTATGCAATGGAAAAAAATATATTTGAAATGAATTAAACACATATACAGTGAGAGAAAAAAGTATTTGATCCCCTGCTAATTTTGTACGTTTGCCCACTGACAAAGAAATGATCAGACCCATTTTCAATGCCCTGGCTGAGGGAAGGAGGTTCTCACCCAAGATTTGACGGTACATGGCCCCGTCCATCGTCCCTTTGATGCGGTGAAGTTGTCCTGTCCCCTTAGCAGAAAAACACCCTCAAAGCATAATGTTTCCACCTCCATGTTTGACGGTGGGGATGGTGTTCTTGGGGTCATAGGCAGCATTCCTCCTCCTCCAAACACGGCGAGTTGAGTTGATGCCAAAGAGCTCCATTTTGGTCTCATCTGACCACAACACTTTCACCCAGGTGTCCTCTGAATCATTCAGATGTTCATTGGCAAACTTCAGACGGGCATGTATATGTGCTTTCTTGAGCAGGGGGACCTTGCGGGCGCTGCAGGATTTCAGTCCTTCACGGCGTAGTGTGTTACCAATTGTTTTCTTGGTGACTATGGTCCCAGCTGCCTTTAGATTATTGACAAGATCCTCCCATGTAGTTCTGAGCTGATTCCTCACCGTTCTCATGATCATTGCAACTCCACGAGGTGAGATCTTTCATGGAGCTCCAGGCCGAGGGAGATTGACAGTTCTTCTGTATTTCTTCCATTTGCGAATAATCGCACCAACTGTTGTCACCTTCTCACCAAGCTGCTTGGCAATGGTCTTGTAGCCCATTCCAGCCTTGTGTAGGTCTACAATTTTGTCCCTGACATCCTTGGAGAGCTCTTTGGTCTTGGCCATGGTGGAGAGTTTAGAATCTGATTGATTGATGATTGCTTCTGTGGACAGGTGTCTTTTATACAGATAACACGCTGAGATTAGGAGCACTCCCTTTAAGAGTGTGCTCCTAATCTCAGCTCGTTACCTGTATAATAGACACCTGGGAGCCAGAAATCTTTATGATTGAGAGGGGGTCAAATACTTATTTCCCTCATTAAAATGCAAATCAATTTATAACATTTTTGACATGCGTTTTTCTGGATTTTGTTGTTGTTATTCTGTCTCTCACTGTTCAAATAAACCTACCATTAAAATTATAGACTGATCATTTCTTTGTCAGTGGGCAAACGTACAAAATCAGCAGGGGATCAAATACTTTTTTCCCTCGCTGTACAAAAACAGTTAAAATGTGACAACTTAAAAAAAAATCATTTTAGAGCCCAATAACCCAGGATTATATGTCCTGATGAATACTGTGGATATATTTAACACCACTCAAGAGTACTGCCACTATTGCATGCCTGCCACTGCTTATAAATCATTGTTTGATAAATCTAATACAGCCTACAAGTACTTTGTAATATATCACACAAGTTGAGAATAAAAACTTACAGCCTTCGGATTTTCAGTGACATGCGTGATTTTATTTGTGATTGGAACTCCCAGTATGCTTGGTTTTATGCAAGGTCGTAAATGTGATTTAAGAGAAATAATGTAATCTTACATCTCTCAAATTTATTTTTATGTGTAAAGCGGTGCAATTTATAGCTTCTCTCCCAGGTGCGTTATCAGTAGTGGTATTAAAAAATGCATTTGCTGCATAAAACATGAACGTGTTGGGCTATGTATTAACTTATAAACATAATCCATGACATCAAGTTCTCGTTGTACTCAAAACAAATTATTCCATTATTGCCATTCCACCAGACTATTTTTAGTTTACACATCATGAATAGGGAATTAGTTTACTTCCAAGAAGAGTTTAAGAGATACCATTTCATATTCTTAGCTCTTTCGGTAAAGTCACGTTGAAGGGAAACAATAAAATATATATAAACAATAAAAAAAATCTCACGACGTTTCGACCGTTATGAATTACTGCAGTCACGAAAGCTTTAAATCAAAAGATACCATTTCATCAAAATATTTTTTTTTCCTCACGTACCTTGTGATGTCATAAACCAGCAGGGCACCCGCTGCTCCTCTGTAGTAAGACCTTGTGATGGACCTGAATGACTCTTGTCCGGCCTGCACGTAAAGACAATCGCTTGACAATTAAAAACCTCGTATGCAATTTCCCTCGACAACAGCTGCTCAACTGTGTAACAACCGACTTAACCAACATAATTCAAGTGCAGTGAAGGCAGTAGCAGACAGGAGATAAACAAAGTGTCACGCACCGTGTCCCAGATCTGGAGCTTCACCTGCTTCCCGTCAATGGTGATCATTCGCGCGCCAAACTCCACGCCTGAGCAACAAGACGAGGAGTTGATTTTGCTTGTTGAAACAAATTGTTTTCTTTTAGAGCTAGACTATATCCACACACATCCCATTGTTAGTCCACTGATTGCTGTCCACATCGATCATCGTCATTGTAAGAAAAACTGTTCCTGCCACTCATCTTAGATGAAGATGACCTAGGGGAGGCATACTTAATACAATAATAATAAGCATTGCTGATGTAGAAGATCAGTAAAACAAATGCATGTTTTAGTGGGATTTATTGTAATGTACAAAAAATTATCGCACTGATATCCAGCAATCTCATCCACACAAACCATGTTCTGTCTGCATTATCATACACCCAATACAATTACATTACTCAGTAATAAACAACAGATATAAAGCGACGACTAACCGATTGTCAGATCATGGACGGGCTGGAACCGCTTGTCTGTAAACTGCAGCAAGAGACACGACTTTCCCACGCCTGAAATAAAAAGAAAATCGAGCTGTTCAAAATAAATCCCGGTTACAAACACTCTATTACAGTAAAATTACAGAAGTCAGCAAAGCAGTACAGATCATGCAACATGAATTATAATCCACACATAAATTGTATCTTGACAAGAATACATAGGCTTGTTTATTTTACTATAGTAAATATACACCGTGTAGGATTTACAAAGCGAAATTATACGTATGTGTCACACGCTGAGGTCAGTGCGTGCAAATTTGCCTATTTCATCAATGTCCAAGTGTTGTTTACAGATGTTCCTTGCACACGGGCTATTTAAAGTTACATTGGTGGACATGATAGTTGCTTTAGTGGCTCTTAGAAACAACCCTCACAACATCTTATCAGATGAAATGTAAACATACCTAAATCATTTAGTATCTATATGTTGGCTTTCACAACTAATATTGTGATTCATAATTGGGTTTTGGGGGTAGGTCATATAAAAAAAACCCACGACCTAACCCAAACACTTAATTATGTTATTAAAGAAATACATAAACATGTTTATGTTATCATGAACACACACTTTAAGATGATTTTTTTTATGTCTGTAAAGTCATATCTAGATTCTTTAGTCATGAAAAATGAAAACAAGTTTAGTCATGCACATAGAGTAATGCATACACCGCAAATATCACATTACAGTTCTTTGGTAGATGGCAACAAGCAAGGTTTAACATAGCTAGTTGTTTAGAGAAAGGTTTAGTAAACGTATAAAAAGGCGAGAGGGACGGTTAGTAGTGACAGGTCATCTCAGAAAACGGAAGACGAAACAATCCACGTGGTATGGTTTATAGGTGGTGAAGCAGAGGGCAGATAACTCGCGATCTCAATGCCACATCAACAGAAGGGAAAGGCGTTAAAAAAATAGCTCGATGTCACTTCAAAAGTTCCGAATCCAAGACGAGAAATTTCCTGCTGTATTTACCGCAATGACGGTACTCGCCTGTGGCATGTGAATGTTCACATAACGTAATGCCTTCTTTTTGGCGGAGGTCTCTCAAACACGTATGTCAATTCCAGAATTGACTTCCCGAAAAGTGGCGTAAATTACACGTTCGTGCAGCGGCGCAAGTATTTAAGATATTCTTTACGGCGCACACTACGGAATGATCGATGGCGATTGGATGTGGACTTTAACGCTTCACTGTTGAAAATCATCAACTTGCGTTAGAACATCACCAGGCCGATGCGCGCAACTCCTTCATAAATTGAAACGTAAAAAGACAAGACGGTGCAACTGTGGCCATGCAAACTCAAATTGTGGCCAAACACGGCAAACCACTGTAGCCTAAACTATTTCAACAGAGGAATAACAAGACGGAAGCGAACTCCCTCCTTGAAGCTTTCTCGTGGCTAGCAGATTTCGACATTGGCATCGAGCTTCTGAATATTGCCACGTGCAAGAATAAAATTGCAGAAAAGCGAAAAGACGCACGGGGAGTGGTCGTGTCAGCTACGCCACTTCCAGCTTCATAATACCACTCCTACTAACCGTGCGGTAAAGGCCATTGTATCATTCAAGAGTCAAACCGGCAACATCCCAAGACAGTCTGTACGTGTCTCACATACATACAATAAGCCAATACCAGTATCGGTATGAACATAAACCTTTAAACGGGCCCGCGTCGACACTCAAAACTGCCAGGCCCGGCACTCTATGGGAAGTCTCTCGCTCCTGTCAAGCGAATGTGGAATTCCCACCGCGACCTTAGCTCTGAAGACAGGCGAGCTCAATTAAGAGTGACGGAACTTCGAGGCAACGCTAGACAGTTACATTAACATCAACCGACAACTGCCCCGAACGGACCCCTCGCCCTGCCGACACCACCCCCCCCCCATCCCCCATCACCGCGGGGTACCCTGCACCAACCCAGGCTGGGAGATCCAGGCAAGCGTCGGGGGGGGCGAGGACCTCGGCGTCATTCGCCTAGGCCTCGAACCGACAAAAAAAAACCACTCGCGTTCCACGTCAGCGCGCGTCTCGCCTCCGTCTCAGAGGCTCGCGAGAGCGCGCTCGCGGCCTCGCCTCACCCGTGTCGCCGATGATGATGTACTTGAAGAGGTAGGCGTACGACATGTTCGCTTCGCTTGGAGTTTGCGCCGAGAAAACCACCGTCTGGGGAAGGGGGGGGGCGATCAGTCGTTTTCTCTCCACACAACACAGCGAGTCCGGCGGCGGTGACGTCAGCGCGCACAGCCGGGTCCTACGTCATCACGTCGCCCGGAAACGCCGTTTAAAGGGCTGCCGAGCGCGCTTTCCTATTGGTCACAACGCGACGCGCGTCGCCACGCTGCTCGCGTGACGTCGGCGCGTTGTCATGCGACGTCGCCGTGTGGACTTGTCGCCGAACGCCCACGTTGCGCATGCGCGAGCCCCGAGGTAAACAAGAGTCACGTGGTTGCTGCCCCCGCCCCCCGCGCGCCCTCCTCGCGACCCCCCCCCCACGGCAAGGGACACGTGGTACGTGGAGCTGGCGGTGACGACACAGGGGGTTGTTTTACCTGCAGATGAAGAGGGCCCTTTTTTAGTGGCAGTTTTTGGGAATGTTTTAAGAGCGACCAACACGGAGTAGATAAGAGCGATGAGATTGTCGCGTGTGGGCAGGGTCGAAGGTGGATTGTGCCATCATGAAGAATTTGAAAAAAGTGACGTTTAAAAAATATATTGCTGTGGTTTTCATACCTGATGATGATTGCTTGTGTTGCAGTCGAAATGTCGTGAGAATTGTATTGCTTTATATTTTTATTATTTTATTGTTTCCCTTCTACTTGACTTCACACACATTTAATTCTAGATTTGAAGCTTTCGTGACTGCGATAATTCATACTCTTTGGTTCTATTCGGTAAAGTCACGTAGGTAAAAAACAAATCACTGCACCACTTGGTGCAGTGATTTTGGTTGTGACTGGTCCCACCTGAAGACGGAAGCTTGCGTTGCCTCCGAAACGTCGTGTTTTATTTGTTTTCTTTTCTTTTTAAATGTGTTTTTTTACGTGACTTTCACACACATTTGTTTATTAAATATTTTTTTTATATCAGTATAAAATGTGTATGTTATTATTATGTTACGATAACATTTATGATAATATAGAGAGAACAGTTTTTGGGTACAAAGATATCAAAACAGCCATTTTTGAGCATTGAGGGATAATGAATCATGGAGTACCTACTAAACACACGCCATTCGGCAAGGAGTACAATAGCCAACGCGTCCTCCATGATTAATAATTCCTCCATTAAATTTTAGTTCTTTGTACCCAGACAATGACGTCATTCTTTTCGCCATTGTCCTACTATGAACCATGAGTGACTGAATTTAACCATTTAGGATCTTTAATTTAACTATGGAGTTCCCTTATGGAAATGAAAATGTTTTTAAACCTCTCACGATTCAGTATATTTAGTATTTTATACGCAAAAATAAATTGTTTTTTTTATTCCATGAAGGAGCATTTTGCTTCTCAATGGGAGAATGGGGAAGCATAAATTTTGTAAATTTTTTGAATGATTGTTATTAAACATTTTGATACTAATGATTCTACCAGGGCTTTTCATTCTGTGGAAGGAATATATGATTGTTATAATTGTACTCTCAATTTTGCTTCGTTCTACTGCAAAGTTTTAAGTATTTTTTATAGTTATAATTACTTTTAATATTTGATAATTATAAGAGAATTTCAATATAATATTCTGAACATCTGCAGTTTTAGTTAGACTATGAATATTTTCAAGTGAATTTTGTGCTAAATTTCAGCTTTCCAACGCCTTTTTAACACGTGTTTTCACTACAATGACAATAGTTTAAAGTGATTTGAAGCATGTTTTGTTTTCAAAATGGAAATATAGTTTTAAGGGGGGGGCAGAGCTTTGTGACGTCATATTTGAGGGGGGTCTGACTTTTTGTGATGCCGTGTGACGAGGGGGGGATGGGGAGTCAAAAATCGGCCAAAATCGCGTGACGTCATTTATAGACGGCCCCCAAATAAATGGGTATTTTAAATGAAGTACAGGTAGTCCCCGACTTACGACGGTCCGACTTACGATATTTCGATCTTACGATGGCGATATGACAAAATTGTAAAATATTTTTAATTTCGCGCGGCAGGAAAACGCAGCAACGTTACGAGGTACGGTACTGTAACTTTATCATCGCCATCCTCCTCTTCCGACAACTAAGTTAATGTAGCCATCAACAACCTTAACATCGTTCAAGTATGCAGACGACGTACAGAATCTTAGTGAGCACAGTAGAATATGATACATTACGATACGTTCAATGCATGTATGCATGTATACGTAGCTTCAACGATTTCATTTTAGGGTTACCACGATACGATACCTAAGTTCGATGCATGTTAAAAGTTTTTATAGCGGATAGGATTGTTTCCTGAAAAAAACTTTCCATGAAATTGCAGTTCATATAGGTAGGCTAAGAATTTTACCTTGTTTTTTTTTACTTTAAAAATTACTGTGCAATACAGTATTGTAATTAATAAATGCATACAGTACAGTATATCGTTTATACAGTACTGCAAATTGCTCTGTTTTGCTAACTTATCACCATCTTTAAGACTCCTGGGTAGGCTAGGCCATTTTCGACTTACGGTATTTTCGACTTACGATGGGGTCGTTGTAACGCATCTCCATCGTAAGTCGGGGACTACCTGTATATCATTTAAATAGGCCGGTGAGCGGAGCGATTTTATCTGAAAACATGAAGCGAGATCGTTCCAATGAAGAGGAGGAGCAACATGAAATGATCTTAAATCAAAGTTTGATTTCGCTCTTGGCCAAGTAGAGAAGCACAAGAGAGGAACTTCTCACGCAGCGTGAGTGTGGCTAGGGGATGAGTTGCTCACGTGGGTAACCCGCAGATTTGTTCTTCAGCACCTTAAGGATAAAATATGCTCAGTCACGTTGTCTCCAGACGCCATGGAGAGGTGAAGTGTGGATTTAAATAAAAGTCGCAGCGGTGTTTATATATGGAGCATTCAGTGAAAAACGGAGAACTGATTGATACAAGGGGACTAGACGTTTCAGGGCAATCTATGAGGCTGACCGGTAGATTACATCGCAGTCGTCAAAAATGAGAAGTATGGTGGCCTTGACTAAGTCTAATCTTAGGCGAGACGGGATGCAATGTTTGTGTCTTTAGATGAAGCCAATTTTTGTTTAAACTTTTTTTTGTATGACACGGTCAATATATGCTTGAAATGAAATTCAATGAAATTGAAGAATAAAAATATTTACTATCACTGTAAAGATTGTGAATTACCAGCCATGATCTATCCAACAAAATCATCATCATCATCACGAGGCGCGAACCCAATCAGAGCTGAGTGCAGGCCAAGGTCATGGTGGTGAAGGTCAGCCTCGACCGTGCGTGTCCACGTCAAGCGGGGCCTGCCCCGGGGTCGTCTCCAATCCCGCGGTGGGCTGTCGGTGATCGCGCGAAGGGGCTCTCGTCTGATCAGCCGAGTTGCGTTCGCCCAGGCCACGTGTTCCGAGAACCGAAGTGTTCTGGCTCTGACCGTGTCGGACACTGATGGGGGGAATCCTGTGGCAGAGGTGGAACTCGGCGTTGGTGACGTGCTCGCTGAAGTGAACTGCTGGGGTGGCCGTCTCAGTAATGCTGTCTGTCGTTGGCCAAGTCTCCGAAGCATACAATAGTATGGGAAGGATGTACAACATTGTAGGGACGGATCTTTGTTGCTGTTGTAATGCTGCAGCGACAGATGTGCCTGTCGAGCTATTTCAAAGCCACAGACGCGTGTTGGTTCAAAGCCACTCCGCACAGACGCGATCACTCACAGACTGGAAATGCCACCGGCCATTTCACTCCCGTGCAATAGCTGATCTCATCGCTCCATCTCCGCTTTAACTCCTCTTGGGTGTCCTTCTGTCACGTTTCCTATCCTGCGATTGTTTTATCTAGCGAAGTGCCCTGCCCATGCCCACTTTCATCAGCTGTCAATATATAAGTCAATATAATGTATTAATTTGCATTCGTTCACTTTGATATACAATATTACAAATACTTGATAAAAGATTGTAACAATGGAATCTTACAATTGACATGATAAAGATTACGACGTTTTAAGAACAACACATAATAAATACCATAATTTGGATAAACATCTTGCCCAATGAAATATTGTATACATATATATTTTGATCAATTTTTCCTTTCGAATTTGTTTTTCTCATATAGATGCGTTTTCTGGATTGTTTTGTTCTCATTATTTTGTTTTTCTGGGTCTGGCAAAATTTGGGCTCAGCACGAGGTCTAAAAGTAGTGTTGAATGTCACAATTTAACAATTCATGTACTCCCCATAAAAGTCAAGTCAAACTGCTCTTCCACATGAGGGATGGTATTGTGGCTATTGTTATTTGGATAAAACTTGTCCCTGCCATACAACTGTATATGTCCCACGCTTGTGGCAGCCAATAGAGGTGAGTATAGTGCCACCACATACTCGTTTGCACACAAAGACACTGTTCATTTGTAAAAATATGCCTTTCAGGCCATTGTCACTAGTAATGGGGAATGCAGTCTGCTAGATTTGAGTTTAGAATTTTTTTTTAGTTTTCAGATTATTCTAGACCTTAATTTTGTATTTAAATACAACAATTTTGACTATTTTGTATTAACTGCATTGAGTAATTTCAATGTTCAACGTTAATAATTTCATTCTTATATATAAGATAAAGTTATATTATTTAAACAATAATTTGAATGTTCATGTTTCGTGCAAATATGACAGACATTTGGTTGGAAAAGCACAGAAATTGCATAATGGAAGTGACATGTCTTGTGATGCCATATTTCTGGATCAATCAAAACAAAAACATGGAAAATTTGAAATGTAATATTTTAGGATTTTTCAATTAACCTGCAAATCGGGAAAACATTCCGACAATTTCCATTGATCCCATCCAGGTATAAAGGGGTCACAACAGGTGTGGCCTAAACAGGAAATGGCAACTGGCAAAGTTGGCGTTTCCTGTTTGTGTTCAAACACCATTGTTGAATGGGCTGAAACACCATTCTTGCAGTGTAACAATGTATGCATCAGGTCATCTCAACCTCCCCGTCACCTTGCATGCAGGCAGCAGCTGTACCAACCTGTGAATGCAAATGCTCAATAATGAAGAGTGCCCGACATGTTTTAGTAGATCCAGCAGGGCTG